GACGACAGAGTCAGGACACCACTTGAGGGGGCTCCTGGCAGGAGGAGGCAGTCCACCTGAGGGGCTGGCTGGGCGTGACGGAGCAGGTGTGGGGCAGGGAGGTCCAGCTGGAGATACGAAGACTGAAAGACACACAGCCTGGAGGAGGCAGGGAGAGCTGCGGAGGCGGCTGAGGGGCGAGGCACAGGAGCAGGGGTGGCCTCTGGGGACTGGCCACTTGGGCAACATCAGGTGGGTGGCGAGCTTGACAAACTCATATGGTGGAATGCGAGGGGCAAGAGAGGGAGCGGAGCGGCAGCTGGAGAGGCCAGGAGGCCTGGGAAGGGTCTGGCCCAGGCAAGGCAGTCAGAGCCGGCCGCAGGCCGCCAGGGACCCAGTGGGAAGGGAAACAGGCGGGAGGGCGGGGAACCACACACAGGAGCCACAGCCGAGAAGGGGCAGCTCAGCCCCGCGGTGGGACGGGCAGGACGGTGAGTGTGCAAGGGGAGGGCGACCCCCACCCCCCACTGGCCCAGTGCCCCGCTGACGCTGGGCCGCCTGCACAGTTGGGGACTCTCCGCGCAGCCGCCTTCAGCAGTGCTCAGTTACTAACCCTCAGTCAGCAGGGACCAAAACAGCAACTAACTGGTTTTCAAACAGTTCTGAAACGACACGTGAAAATAAAGGAACCGCTCTGCCGGTTTGGGGGCACGGACACCCCACTCCCCGGGCCCAAGCTCCTCCTCCCCCTCCCCCTGCTGGTCTGCCCTCCTACCACTTCATTCCCACTGACTCCACTCATGATCAGCCTGTGTGGCAATCAGGCACTCAGTGGCCTGGCCATCACGTCCCCTTCGTCAGGCTCTGGGGACATCGGGAGCCACGTTTCTCCAGTGGGCCACATGCCCTCGGCGTTCGGGTCGCCAAGACTCCAACCCAGCTCCTGAAACTTCTTCCCAAAATCCGCCTTCCCCAGCTGCCCACTAAGGCCACTGCCCCCACCCAGAAGGCCCCACCCCCCTGGCCAGGACCTCACCTAAAATGCTGCACCCCAGTGTTCAATGCCTCACCCCCACCAAGCCTGGCCACCCAGCTCAGGGACCTCATACCCCTTAGAGAGCTGGGTACTAGAAAGCCCTTTCCTTTCCAGATCTGAAGTTTGTTTAAAACGACAATGATACTTTAAAACCGGGACAGGCTGACTCCGGCTCAGGTAAACCTGCATCCACTGGGAGGGCGTGGCAGGAGGAGGTCAGCCTGTGCTCAACATCCAGCCAGTGGTGTGAGTCAGGAGCCTTCACAAAGGGGCCCTGCACTGGAGTTCTAGGTCTGTGGGGTTCTGGGGGCCAAGGCCACGTGGCAGACAGCACCCTGAAGGCCTGACGAGGTTTGAGCTTGAGAGGAAGGAGGCAACTAGGATTCCGAGGTCTGTGGACCAGAAAGGACCAGTGTCTGAGGGAGGGACCAGCTCATTTGTAAATCAAATAATCTAAAGTGAAAAGAGGTTAGGACCTAGCCTACAGGCATCATTGAGGATCCGGCATAACCAGATACTTGTCTCAAATGTCCAAACATTTACCAGCATTTCTCAAAACATGAGAATAGGTGACCCCAAGTCTGCTAAGATCAGATTTGGAAAACTGCTCTGAAAGTTTTATCTTTGAGCATACAATTGGCACCCAAACTTTCTACAAGTACAAAGCCAGGATTTGAAATTGCAAGGCAGTATTTGGTCAACGAGACTGTCACCAAGTTAAAAGCATAAAATTTTTTTTTTATTGTTTGTTTTTATTTATTTGGGGGAGAATAATTAGGTTATTTATTTATTTTAACTGGGGGACTGGGGATTGAACCTGGGACCTCCTGCATGCTAGTACTAAGTGTAGCCCTCTACCACTGAGCTACACCCACACCCCTAAAAGCATAAAGTTTAAATATTACAGTAGAATTCAAAGACCCAGGAGAGTCCACCTCCAGACCGAGTCAGGAGCAAGACCCTTGCCCCAGCCTGCCCTGTGCGCAGAGAGGCTGGCTAGGAGGGGGCACTGAGTGGAGCCAGGGACCCCCCTGGCGGGGGTGCGGAACTGAGGCCGGCTCAGGTGAGACTCAAGGGGAGGAGTCGGGTCCAGAGCCAGGTATCCCAGCAACAGGCGCCATGCCCCTTCTCCTGGGCTGTGCGGACTCCCACCCGGTCTGGGTGGTGATAAAGATCTCTAAAAGATTGCTTTACTTCCGCTATCTAAAGGAAAAACACAGAAGCAAAAACTCCAAAATACTAATGGGACAATTAACAAAATAATTTGGAGCATAAACACAAATTGCTTTCAACACCAGAAAAATTTAAAAACATCATTAAAGCAGGGCTTCCAGTTCATGATGGTGGGTCTGGCCCTGGAGGTCCCCTCCTTCTGTGAGGCCTGACAGGCAGGGTCTTACGACCATACCAGGCCACCTCCAGGATGAGCGCACCAGGGCCAGAGCACAAGGCGCACTCCTGTGAATGCCCACTGCTGCAGGAACCAGTTCCAGGATGCATGGTCCCAACCAGCCGCTCTTGCCGGGCCGTCCCGCCCCCACCCCCGCCCTGCGACGAGCAGCAGTGCCGGAGCTGCCGTGCAGGCATGTGCATCTGGCAAGTGGAGGCCGGGCTGCTAAACATCCTGCAGCCCCCGCGACGAGGACTCATCTGGCCTAAGCGTCCCTAGGCAGAGAGAAGCCTGTGTCGTCCGCACACTGACCACCATGCTGCGGGGCTCAGTGAGGAGGGCCAGGTCACAGCACGCTGGTAGCAGCAGCTTGGGGCACTCCACTCTCTGGCCGCTTGGCCAGGAGCTAGGGCAGAAGTGCTTGCCAGGCTGCCCAGGAGCCGCCCACAAGCCCCAAGGCCACAAGGACCCTGTGAGATCCTCTGAACTGTGGGGTCCCCATCGTGTCTCAAGAGGATGTGCTGGCCAGGAAAGCAGTGAGGACTTAGCCCGGTACACATCCATTCCTATCACCCCGTGGGAGAATGTGCCTTGGGACTAGAGAAGCCCGACGCACCTTCCGGAACCCCAGCCCCCCAGGCCTCACTGCCTCCTTCCCTGACCTCTGCCCGTGCACCCTCACCTGTTTAATTCCATGTTAACAAGTGCTTCTAAATCACGAATCCCTGGCTTCCTAGTGACGCTTCCTCATTATCCACTAGGAATTACTCCTGAAAAAGTGTTAACTCAGCAGTGACACACGTGTCAATAGAACAGAGAATTATGTGGGATCAGAATAATCCGTGAGGGAAAACGTTGGAAGTATCTTGCAAACATTCTGATTTTAAAATCATCCTAAAAAAAGAAGTAAAACTCTTTCTGACCTGGCAGGCTCACTTGAAATGACACTCTAATATCCCTGTACCTCTACGATTATCTGAATGCCGACTTTCCTCAAGGCTACCGAACAACTCTGCAGCTCAAATTACAGTCTTGATTATGAAACAAGAAAAGGAGGACCAGAGGGAGAACTCCTTCCTGCCTGGTGCTTCCCACATTCACCACTGCTGTTCTCATCTTTAACCTTCCTGTCTGTCAGTCAAATGGTGGGGCTGATGGTGGCTAAGGGAGACAGAAGGTCAGCAGTTACCGGTTCCCACTGGCACCTCCCTTTTTGGAGGAGGGGGTGGGGTAGGAAGAACTTTTAGCTGGGGGCCTCAGGCAGCACACGGCCTCTCCGAGCTGCAGGCTCTTAATGGATTTGAAGATAAAGACCAACCGCCCTGGGTCCCGGCAAACAGGCGTCTGGTCCAGACCAGCAGTGCTTCCCTTCCTCCAGGCTGCCCTGAGTACCACAGGGACAGCTACCTTCCATGGAGAACCAGCAGGGTTCCAGGCAACAGGGAGCCCCTCATCCCACCCTGAGCTGACACAGCTGCTCTCATTACCTACGTCTGCCAGGAGTAAACAATCTCAGAGTGGTGGGACCCCTGCCTGGAGTCTCCAAAGACGTGAACACAGAGGTGCAGGACTTACCCCGGCAGGCTAGCTCAGAGCTTCTGGCAACCTGGCCATCCAGCACCTACCACCTGTTACCACTGAGGTGGACAGGAATGCTGGTGTCCTCAGGAGGAGAGAAAGGCCCCTCGGCTCCCCAGGAAAGGAACCTGGAGTCACAGAAGCTGGGCCACAGTTCTCCTGGGAACATTATAACTGATCTTTTAAGGGATTTTTTCCCAGGTGCTTCACTGCAGAGTCAATCACCACCCAGTCCTCCCCTAACTAGGTAAGGAACAAGGAACAGCCCCTTTTCCCAAGAACACTAATTTCTTCTCAATGGAATGCGACCTGCCTAAGTAACCATCCAAGGTCACGCAACTGGTAACTGAGTGGCAAGGGCTGTATTTCAGGTTTGGTGACGCCCCGCAAATGTGTTCCCACTGGGTCATGAGGTCTCTCCTTTCAGGTTCCCCAATTAGTGGTTAGAAGCCAAATATCAACATCTTCTGACATTAAGCTTCCGAGAGGACAGCTGGACACAAACCGCCAGTCACGCTGGGCACTCTGGCTGGGCGCCCGCGACCCCACACCCCGGAGACCCCAGCCTCCAAAGTCACCAACCTGCCTACGGCCAGGACCGTCACTGATGCAGTTCACGGTCTTTACAGGACAAAGGGGCCACAATGGTTCTCCGGAGGGCGAAGCGGGGAGCCAGGCAGACGCGCTGGCTGCGCTGTCACGAAGACCTCGCAGGGCTGGCGGGGGCATGGACGGCCTCACGCCACACCCGCCCGGCCCCGCAGGTCCCCAGGCCCAGGGGAGCCCGCCCACAGGCCCCCAGGACCCGGGGAGCCCGGCCCCCAGACCCCAGAACTCGGGGGCCCAGCCCGCAGACCCTCAGACGGCGGGGAGCCCGGCCCCCCACCCCCGAGGAGCCCGGCCCCGGGCCCCCTGGCCCCCGCCCGGCGCCCCAAACTCCGCCTGTCCCTGCCCCCCGGGCCGCCCGCGGCCCGCGGCCCCGGCCCGGCGCGGGCGCCCCCTGGCCTCAGACCCCACCTTGAGGGTCGGGTACTCCTGCACCTTCAGGGTCATGGAAAGCTGAGCCGCCGACTCCTGCACCGCCATCTTGGATCGGCCAAAACATTAGCGGGCGGAGGGGAAGCGCGGCGCGCGGCACGCCGGGTAGTGACGTCACGGGGCGGGGCGGGCCGACGCGTCTGCACCAATCGCGTCCGCCTCCCGTCCTATGGCGGCGGAAGAAGGCGCGGCCGTGGCGCGCGCGCCGAGAGGCGTCCGCCCCACCCAATCACCGCCGGTCTGTCTCTCTTTCGTCCAATCAGCGGGAAGCCCGGCTGGGCGGGGTCCCTACTTGAACTCGAGGCGGGGCGAGACGGCAGCTTCGCCAGGTTATCTCCCTTGGCTCCAAGCAGCCGGGTCTGCTCTCTGGCTGCCCAGGACACCTTCGGGCATGGGGGCCGGGGACCCGCGAGGGGCGCGGCTGGGGAGGTGACTGGGCTCTCGTGGGCGGCCCCTCGGGGCGGTGACCCCCCCCATGACCCTTCGTGGTAGTCGTGGCCAAAATGTCCGCAGGCCACCGGGGCATGTCAGCTTTCCACCGGCTGCCTTTCCGCAGAGGGACGGCTGCTGGATTGGGACGCAGAGCCCGGTTCCCGTTGGTCAGGAGAGGTGGAGTGTCCGGACTCGCTCCCGGACTCCCCCGCGCCCGACACGCGGCCCGGCATACACACGGACTCTATGGTTTCCTTTCAACCACTTCGCATTCGTATTCCCTTTTATTCTTTTTTAAAATAGATGAAAGTAGGTTTCATTAGTTAGGAGAAGACTTTCAAATTACGCCACATTTCACACTCATTCCTGAAACGACTTAAAATATATATATGTATATAAAGTTTAATGTGAAAAACAGCTAAGGCGACACAAGAAAGCCACTGCGTCCGAGTGGGGCTGCCAGGACCTCACCCTCCTGCGGCCCCATGCCCTGCAGCATTCCAGCAAAATCCCAGTGGTAACAGAACCATGCTCAGACGAGACGAGCTTCCTGTCCCGGCTGAAACCAAGCTCCGGAACTGCTCACACGACGTGAGTGAATTCATCAAAGCAATTAGAGGGCACGTACAGCTCGACGCCAACCGCACCTCTGCCGCCTGTAATAATCTAACAGCAATTACTTCACCAGCAGAAGTGAGCTTTTTCAGCACTAGCGGAGGAGCCGCAGTTTGGAATGCACAAACAGATCCGGAGAACAAGGAAGGGGAACTTGCTTTCGCAGGAAGAGCGGGCGCTGGGGGAGCCAGGGCCGGGGTACGGAGACTTCCCGTGGGTTGTGCTGCCGCAGCCTCTGATTGGGCTGTCGGAGTTTGGAGGGACGTCTTCGTCCTGCTGGACAGTAAGTAGAGGCACCTTCCTGTAGGAGCTGTAGGCAGACGCCTCTTTCTCTTCAGGACAATTGACACGCATGGTGGACGTGAGAGTGCCGCCCGCAGTCCTGTCCCCACGCCAACTTGAGCTGAGGTCTCCTTAATCCACACTTCCCCTTTGATCAGGAGCTTTCCTCCAAAGGGTCCCTGACCAAGAGTCAGGCTCCCCTCACGTAGTGGTCTGCCCCAGTTAACTTAGAAACAGTACTTACGGGTTTAGCATTTGGACCTCATTGTAAAGAGGTAGGTTTTCCTAGAGGAGGAAAGCAGGTGGTGGTGGGGGCAGGACCTGAGCACAAGATGGCTGCTGGGGTGCAGTCTGAGATGGAGAGGGTGGAATCTGAGGCGAGGGGTGGAGTCAGGTGAGAGGTGGAGGGGGTGGAGTCTGAGGTGAGGTGGAGGGGTGGGGTCTGAAGTGTGGGGTGGGGTCTGAGGTGAGAGGTGGGGTCTGAGACAAAGGGGTCGGGAAGAAACACAAGATGGCCCTGAAAACAAGTTGGGGGAGGGGATCATAAGGAGCGCTAGGCTTCTAAAGCCATTTTATTCCTTTCCGATTTGTTGTTTCAGCCGACTTAGAAATGGTATCTTGCAAAGAGGCAATTTTACAGTTTTGTGTATGTTTGGAAGCTTCCAGTTACCCATGAAAACAAATATTCCATCCGTTTTGTTTAATTTCAGAACTGCCATCCTCCAATTTAATCTTGAGAAAAACATGTTTGGGAAGATCAGAAACTCCCATAAAGGCACTGTAATTCCAGATTAGTTTTAGTTTGTTCAGCCCACTTAATTAAAAATGAGCATGTGGGGGGCATCCATAGTTTTTAAGCACAGAACTGGCTGAAGTCGATGAAAGAGGCTGCCCTCAAAACATTTAGATGACCAGGATCCCATTTCCCTAAGTTCTCCTGGAAACCCAAGAAAGTTGCTAGAGTCCTAGACCAGATTCCAAAGGGATAAAATGAATTCCTAGATCATGGTGCACGCCATCCCCCGAAGATAATCTTGTTGCTGTGCATTCCAGAGAACAGCTGAGCACTCAGCACGGATGGAGTCTTGAACCGGAAAGGACAAACCTTTGCCCTGAAAGGACAAAGGTTTTCCAGATCCCAAAGTTGGAGAGCTCAAAAGGCAAAAAGAGCAAAACTTGGAATCTGAGAGGAGACTCACCAAACCAACAGCAGGTGGTGATGAAAGCGATGAGCACAGGGGGCTCCGTGCAGATACCGTGCTCAATTCCAGAGGCCATCGTCTCTCAGGATTTGACACCTTTGGATCCCACTTCTGACACCACCTTCCTGTTGGTGAACAGACACAGTGTGGCCAGTGTGTCCACACTGATTTCTGAAGAGTGTGAAGGTGAGAAGGATGAAGATGGATTCCAGTGTATGGCATATGCCTCACAGGAGACATCTGGAATGAAATTGTTAGTATAAGTCTGGAAAAATGCATCTGTTCTGGAATTTTTTTTAGTCCTTACCAAGGTGAAAATGGGTAGTTACCAACTGAAATTGATCAGTTCATCCAATCACAGATCATCAGAACAGCAGTGTTCTGCCTAGGAGTTTTAGGAAGTTGTTTTGTACTTTAAGCAGAAAAACTCTTCACTTTGAGTTTGAAATGAGCAATATGCAGCTTTGGAAAACTATTATTATTTAACCTAGGTGGCCTTATTTGAAAATAAAGTACTTTGCATTCTAAACTGCCAATAGAATAGACCCTCAAGTTATTTTAATGCTCTTTCCCCAATGGGAACTTGCAACTGAGCATTCGGAGAGACATTCAGTCTCCTCTCTAGGCTCACAGAACTAGCCAACTTTTTTTTGAGATATATTTGGCCTGCAACATTTTGTGTAAGTTTAAGGTGTGCTGAGTATTGGTTTGATGCATTTGTATTGCAACATGGTTGCTGTTGTAGCATTAGCTAACACCTCTATTGACCAGGTAATTAGCAATTCTTCCAGTGTTGGGAACAATTAAGATCTAGTCACTTAGCAAGTTTAATGTTTATAAGGCAGACTTGTTGTCTGTAGTCGCTGAACTGTGTCTTAGGTCTCTGGGACTTACTCACCTACTATTTCCAGTGTGTACCCTTAAAGAACACCTCTCCATTCCCCTATCCTACAGCCCCTGGCAACTACTATTTCACTCTCTGCATTTATGATTTTGTTTTTGTTTTTAGATTCCACATAAAAGAGGTATCATACAGTATTTGTTTTTCTCTGGCTGACATCTCACTTAGCATAATGCCTTCAAGGTCCATCCACATTGTTGCAAATGGCAGAATTTCCATTTCTGTCTCATGGCTGAACAGTATTCCTTTGCATATACATACCAAATCTTTATCCATTCATTCACTGATGGGCACTTAGGTTGCTTCCACACCTTGGCTATTGTGAATAATGCTGCCGTGAATGTGGGAGTGCATACATCCCCTTGGTAACCTGTTTCCATTTCCTTTGGATACATACCCACAGTGGGATTGCTGGATCTTATGGTAGTTCTATTTCTAAATTATTGAGGACCTTCCATAATGTTCTTCACAGTGGCTGAACCAGTTTACATCCCACCAAGAGTGTACAAGTATTCCCTTTTCTCCATATCCTCACCAACACTTGTCATCTTTGTCTTTTCGGTAATTGCCATTCTAACAGGTGTGAGGTGATAGCTGATCGTGCTTTTGATTTGTGTTTCCACGATCACTTGTGATGCTGGGCATCTCTTCATGTATCTGTTGATCATTTGGATGTCTTCTTTCAAAAAATGTCTATTTAGTCTCTCTACCCATTTTTAAATATTTTTGCCCTATTTTGTTTTTGAGTTGTATTAGTTTTTCAAAATAGATTTGGGATATTAACCCCTTATCTGATATATAGTTTGCAAATATTTCCTCCCACCCCATAGGTTGCCTCTTCCTTTTGCTGATGACTGCTTTGCTCTGCAGAAGCTTGAGTTTGATGCAGTCTCACTTGCTGATTTTTTCCTTTGTTGCTTGTGGTTTTGGTGTCATAACCAAAAAATCATTGCCAAGGCAACATCAAGGAGCTTCTTCCCTACATTTTCTCCTAAGGGTTTTAGGGTTTCAGGGCTTATATTTAAGTCTGATGCATTTCAAGTTAACTTCTGTGAGTGGTGTCTGATCAGAGTTCAATTTCATTTTCTGCATGTGTTTTTCTGGTTTCTCAGCATTGTTTGCTGAGGAAACTATTCTTTCCCTACTGGGTGTTCCTGGCTCCTTTATGAAATATTAGCTGAGTATATATGCAGGGGGTTGATTCTGGGCTCTCTGTTCTGGTCCATTGGTCTATGTGTCTATTTCTATGCCAGGACCATATTGTTTTAATTACTATAGCTTTGTGGTATAGCTTCAAATCATGGCCAGCTCTCCATAGAAGGGTTTCTTCTCAGTTATGGAGAATTCTTTGTAAGAGGGTCTTTAGGCCTAATTTGTTGAGCACCCCTCACCCCCAAATTCATTGGCCGTAATAGTTGGCAAAAAGCAGGGTGAGTGGGTGTGTATAAGAACACTCTGAAGTGCTGTTCAAGGTTCCTGAGTCCTAATAAGTGAACCCCAGATCAACACTCTGACAGAATTAGGGAGTTCTTATTTGGTTTGTTGTACAGACAGGTACACACAGAAAAACACCACTGTTCAATAGGAACATTGAGTAATTTATAAATTTGGCCTAGTTTCTTGAAGGGCCTGGGGAGAAAAACCGAGTGACATTTCTGTTGTTTCGGACTTTTTCTGACCTCCGAGTTCAGACT